GAAACTTGTGAGTACGCAATTGCTCTCTTTACAATCTGTGATGACCCCCATTAAATGACTCCCTCAAGATTAGCTCAAACTTTTGAAACATATAAGCGGCCATGGAAAGGAACGGAGCAAGTGATAAGGAAATGGCATTAATATTGGAAAAGGAAGAAGACTCAGCAGGAGAAACAATATTAATTAACTTAGAAAACAGTGAACTTGGATATATAACCTTGGACCAATTCAAATAAATTTTATTTAACGAGGTGCGGTAGGCAATTGAAGCTGCCTGCAAAAGTATTATTAAGAACCTTCTAAATAAAGACCTAGAATTGGAAAGCAAACAGAAACCAGACCTGGAAGAGAAGGAGGAGGCCCTGCAATGTCAGAGTTCTGTGATTTCAGAGAAAGAGAAAAAAGCACAAGACTCAATTTGTATGGAGACGGAAAAGAAACGCTCCCCGATAAAAAGTCGAGTAAAGCATTTTGCAAAGCGAGCCAAGACAGTAGGATTTACAGAAGGAAATACCCGAAAGCAACTTAATGCAGATATGAAGAAGTGGAGTAAAAAGAAAAAGAAAAATTTCCAAAGAAAAGGACTAAGGACTACAAAGCACATGTGCCAGATTTGATTAAACAGGAAAAACAAGATGGAGTAGATATATATGAGTATAAAGAGGAGAAGCATCAAGAAATGATCATAGAGAAGAGGGCACCTCAGGAAACAGGGTTGCCATCTGTATTATGTGGTAGCATAATTATTTTTCTTTTTTATAAACCAAATGAAATGTGGATGGTGTTAAAGGACGAAAATGAATTTATTGGACTAAGGCATCTTGATTTATTTTGGAATGATAATAAGAACTTTAGACCTCTGTGCAGTTTAATAGTTAAGTACTTTTGGGCTATCTTCAAAGCTTATGTCTGTTGTTGCTTAAAAGGATTATTTTTGTTATCATAATACAAAGAAACTAACTACTGTAAGAAGGATTGGGGTAGTCTATTAATAACTTTTACCTGGGGAAAAAAGAAAGAGTGGAAAAAATTAATTTATATCTGACTCTAGATCATTAATTTTGAATATCTGATTTTTGGGGCTAATTATATGTTTGGATACTCCCCAGTAAATGATTATATACACCGGAGTTATTTTTAAAATTTTAGTTCTAATGTTGTTTACAGGGGTTATTTTTGCCATTATAATGTAAAGAAATGAAATAGGACTAAAGCTGTGAGTAATAATTGTTGTTAGAATATATTCTGATTTATTCTGGAATGATAATAAGAACTTTAGACCTCTGTGCAGCCTAATGGTTAAGTACTTTTGTGTTATCTTCAAAGCTTATTTCTGTTGTTGCTTAAAAGGATTTTAATTTTGAATATTTGATTTTTGGGGTTAATTATATGCTTGGATACCCCCCAGTAAATGGCTATAAACACTTGAGTTATTTTTTTAAAATTTTATTTCTAATCCTGTTTATAGGGGTTATTTCTGCCATTATAATTTAAAGGAATAAAATAAGACTAAAGTTGTGAGTACTACTAATAGAATATAATATATAAAAAATATGGTTAAGATTGGAAAATAAGGTCATGGACCTGTTGGGGCCTGGTAAACATTCGAGAAATTTTTGCTGAGAAGACTATTGAAGAACTCAGCTGTTGTTGATATCTGTTGAATTAAATAAAAGAAGATAAGGTGATAGGTAATTACTTTAGAATGTAAGTCTAAGAACCTTTATTTTTTGGGTTGAAAAGTAGATTGATAAATTATGAGAAATATGCGTTGGGTTACAGTGGAAAATACATAAGATATTGAGATATGACTAGAGTGTTTGCCAAATGGATTAACATTGTAAGTATATTATATAATAGCCAGTTGTATGTACAGCCTTTGTTACTCTTTTGCTAATATTAATAATATAATTTTATTTTTGTAATGAGATAAAGGTATTTCAACGCTACCCACTTTGATAAAGGTATACACGGAACAAGATGTAATATGCATGGTTCGTTGGTATTGATGGCGTTTGAATTGCTTCCAGTAAACTGAATATTGAAAAAAGAATTTACAAGTTGGTGAAGAACTTTTTTTTTTGGCACTATGGACCATAGTTGTTTGCTTCCTTTCAACTATTTATGAGCAACGCCTGATTGAAGTGTTCCCTAATATTACTACTGTGCTTAAGCTGTACTTGACAATGCCTATCACAAGTTGTAAAGCAAAAAGGAACTTCTCAAAGCTTTCCTTTATAAAGAACAAATTTGATCTGCCATGACTGAAGAGCGCTTAAATTCTTTATGCATGTTGTCTGTAGAAAATGACATTGCAAGGAAGCTCTCATATGACAAAACTGTATGTGAATATGTTGCTAGAAAAAACAGAAAAAAGAGTATTTTGTAAAATGTGCTTCATGTAGTATGTATTCTCATAGGTAAATAAAATAAAATATATTAACTGTGGTCTTTGCTATGTTTTATTTCATCATTCTATGATGCATCATGCATGTATACGTTTCCCTAATTTTCATCCCCCATAACCTGAAAACTATAAGGCATAGCCTAGGAAATTTTTATTCACACAAGTGACTTGGAACATTAAGATAAACCAATACAGCAATTTTAATCAAAATCTGAGACATAGTGCTTAATTTTTTTTTTAAATGTCGTGATCGGCCGTAGAATAACCCCATTGAAGATGATAACAGCAGTGAGAATAACCCCATTGAAGACAATAACAGCAGTGACCCAGACCTGGTGGGAAGGGGGCTCACTGTATGGCCCGTTTTCAAGGGCTCCACCCCCCAACACCCTCTTCTCTGCCATTTGGGCCTCAAGGTCCTTGCAAGGGCAGCAAGGTCCTTTGGACCTTGCTGGATGTGGCCCTATTATTGCTGATTGCAAAGGGCCCCCAAAAATGTAGATCCACCCCTGCCATTCTCAATCCCGCCTTCTGCATCCTTTCATTTATACATTCAGTACCTACCTCTCTAAAACTAACGTATTTCATTTATTCACTGAGATTTCCTAAATATATGCTATTGACAATAAAGATAAGCAAATTAAATACAGACAGAGTTAAATTGCCAAATCTGAATTTCTGCAAAAATTCAGTCCCCTATTTAACTAAATTATAAGCAGGAAATCAACTCAGCAGGTTCAGCAGGAAAACTATTTATTTAGCATCTAAAATAGTTGTACTGTGCCTTTCCTGTTGGATTAAGGTGGCTTACAGGTAATAATTAAAACATTTCAGATTAAAATAGGGCTGCCAAGTCTCGTTGAATCGTGGCGGGGGATCGTCATTCTTTACAGGAGCTCTGCTGCGGGGGACGGCAACAGGCGTTGCACCGTCGTCGCCAGGATGTGACGCTACGCGTCGCTCTGGCAACGGGGCAGATGAAGTTTCAAATTAATATATTGGCCCCGGTCACACGGGCCAGATAATCCGCAGGGGAACGGAGACTTTTAACTGTGGAGAAAAAAGAAGTGCAGTAGTGCGATCTCACGTTTCCCCGCGGCTCTGTCCTCCAGCTGTCAGCAGTCGATCAGACCAGCGAGGCAACACAGCAGGACCGCATTTGTGCACATGCGCCCGACATGGACGGCTGCTGGATGCGACGGGTTACCAGCGTGTCTCCTATCAGATGCCCGCCTGTGCTGTGCATTTACTGAAAGATAGTACTTCGAGGCAGGTAGTTTTTAACTCCGGGTTTTCTGCAGGTGCGCTCCACTTGCCAGATGTGGCGGTGTGATCGCGCCTGAATAATCCGCCCACCACCCGTGGCTCTCCCGCAGCTACTTCTGCGTGTGAATGGGGCCATTGTAACAAAGTTCCTTTTTTCTGCTTCTATAAATGTAATGTGTAAACTCCAGTAAGGGGTCCTTGAGCCTGGTGTTCTTAAAAATAAATTCTGTCTTTCTGTTTAAGGAGTCACTGGTTTTGGGTGTGGTTGTTTCCAGAATCAACCTTTAGGGTGACCCGGTGTGCCAAAGAAATTCCAAGACAACCTGCTTTCCGCCTTGTGATAAGTCAGACCCCACCAGATGTAGGACAGATCAAATAGTTCTGGCCTCTGAAGACTAATTATTTTGACAAAGGAATCCTTATTGGAGCATTGTTTCAACCATTTTTACTTTAGTTATTTAAAAGGAGAGTAAAGTCTTTTACCATTTGGTTCAAGTCTTTGCCCTATTTCTTTGTGCAGCCTTGCTCCTAGCCTATTACAAGCAGTTACTTGCCCATTTCCACAACCATATCAGAACCACGTCTCACACCTGATTGTGTACTCCTATACATTAAATTTAAAATATAACAAGAACTTCAACTATAATATTGAAGTTGCAGTGTCAGGTTTTCAGGCCCACTACAAAACGAAGGATGTGTCTCTGACACTGGAGTCCAATAGCTGAAATCCAAGGTTGCAACATCTGGAGGTCAAGAAACACAAAGTGGCACACTGAAATATGATTTGATTTTTCCAAATACCCCTGGATCTATACAAAAGTGAGCATTAGCCCACTTTTTGCCATTCGTAGATAAAAATAACTGGAGTGAACATGACACATAACTGCTTGCTCACCTCACACTACATTTGAAAAAAGGCATATATCAACAGAAAACTGTCGTGTTCAGAGCTAAGAAAATGAAACACTTTCCTACCCCACAGAATATGTTCTTGGACCACCGTAAAGGCAAAGCGAGGGCTAGCTCCAGCAGCATTTGAAAAGAACTTGGGCATTTGTTTGAATAGTGAGACTTTCTAGATTAGAACTGAGGGAAAATATTATATCCTGGGACTCAAACTTAAGGAAGGGAATATTTTCCTGGACTAAAATCCAGGTGCCGATAAACACAGCTTGCTTTAAGCAGATTTCTTTAAAGAAAACATCGTTTCTTCCATCTCAGAAATGATATAATACAGTGGCTGGACAGCATATCTTAATCTGATATGATGTCACATTTCCCAAGGTATCAACCTCCTCACTGCTGCAATACTTTTTATGACACTTACCTCCTGTCTGCTGCAGTAAGATTTCAGCTGGGTTGTGGGGTTTCAGGCCTAGTGCTGAGAGTGGAGTTTTGGCCAGACCTGGTGGAGAACGCACTGTTGTCAGAAAGACAGGGAGAAAGAGAAATGTGCATCAGCAAAACAGAATGTAAAGTTGAATTAAATTTAAAGAGCAATAAATCCAAGTTTCTCCAGGTTTGTTGCTAAGGACCAGTTTGTAACAGTCTCAAAGTGATTGTAACTGAATCCTGACTAGGTACATATGTGGCTGGAAATGCTCACAGCGGCTGGTCTGTTGAAACCACAGGAATGTAGCTGCTGAGGGTAGGCCCCTGTCTCTGAGTAGACACCTTTGGCTAAGAAACAGCTTCTCTTTTGTGGAAGACAGAATCAAAACGCCTCCTGGCTGGCTGTTTATAAAAACTGCATCTAAATGGAAAACATTTTCTTCAGCAGACTCTCCTCTTCTGGCAAGTGGGAGAATAGATCTATGTTATGGTAGCCTAATGTATTGGGAGCTAAGAGTACAAAGGCCTCACCAATGCTTGGCATGCTCTGGCATCAAAGATATCTCTCACTGGCTGGCAAGCAGCCAAGAGAGAGCCCTTCACACTGCTCCTCGAATCATCGACACAAAGCAGGACCTTGTGTCCAGATAACACATAACATTGTGATGGTATCAACATTCTAGCCCTGGCAGATCAGTATTTTATTTCCTGTCCATCATTTAACACCAACTAACTTAAGCCAGGTATGAAAGGCTAGCTAGTATTTGTGTTTGTTTTTTTAAGTAAGGCAATAAAGTTTGTGGGCTTGTGACATGTCCACATTGTGGATTGGATCCAGTGCAAAATCGTTAGAACTCTTGAGCAAGCAGCAATACTGCAGTATCCACTTGCATAAAGTAAAACTTACCATTTCCACTTACGCGACAGATCTTGTGCAACCAAATTCTTGGTACTATGATATATACGGAGGAAAGTGCTTGGTGTTGCACAAGCTCTTGTGCAAATGGAAGTACATTAAACCCACTGATTTTTCTGCTTTGCATCGCTGGAGCTAAACCTGTGTTTAGACATAATGTTTTAAGCAGGAAATGGGCAACCCGCATTCAAAGTAAACTACGCTCCCAGTTTTTACAAATGGCTTCTTGTCATCCACATCTTAGATGCCAGTCTGGCATCCACCTCATTATCTTTGTTCTAGAAGCAGAAGCACAACATTTTGGCCCATGATGTTGGCTACCGTCGTAAAATAAATGCAATGGGTACTTCTAGAAGTTTGGTGTAGTGGTTAAGAGTGGCAGGACTCTAATCTGGAGGACTGGGTGTGATTCCCCACTCCTCCACATGAAGCTAGCTGGGTGACCTTGGGTTAGTTACAGCTCTCACACATCTCTCTCAGCTCCACTTACCTCACAGGGTGTCTGTTGTGGGGAGAGGAAGGAAAGGTGATTGTAAGCTGCTCCGAGAATCTTAAGTGAAGGGAGGGATATAAAACTGACTCTTCTTCTTCTTAGGCTGTTCAGGTTTTGTGTCAACCCTCCTTCCCAGCAATCTACTTAGCTAACAGGGACCAGCACAGCATAGGATCTGAGTGCTCTCTGCAGTAAGTAAGACTCACTATCCTCAGTGGATCCAGGGCTGTTCTAGGGAAACGGATACTTGCCTTTCTCAAAGTGGACAATTCTTATATTCCAAGTTCTGTGCTATTGTACCCCACTGGAAGCACTGGAAGCTGCTATCAAGACAATTCCAAAATCCCGAAAACATGGAAATCAGGCTTATGTCCCATAGGTTTCAACAGGACCAAGATTTTTCTAACTTTTTCTGGACATGTGACTATGCCTCTACTTTGTGGAATATCACTGAAAATATCCACAGGGTGGACACCCATACTTCCATCTCATTGCTTCCTAAGCACTGGAAAAATCAACTGTAATTTGGTTTTAATACTGTTTTAATTGATTTACTGTATTATTTTAAATGTTCTCTGCTGATTTTATGTAAGCAGCCCTGAGCCAGCTCTAGCTGGGAAGGTGGGGTATAAATTTGAATAATAAATAAACAAACAAACTGTATTACTACTATATTTCCTACTTACAACCCTTTTGGACATTTACAGGGAAGTGCAGCATCCTACCAATACTTAGAAGTTTCCTCCTTATTATTCAGGAGCAGTGCTCAGTTCAAGAACCTCCTAAAAAGCTGAAATATCCTAGTTGGCAACTGACCATAGTGTTCTCAGTCTTTTAGCACGATGCTTAGAAAACATCCATGAATAAATGCATGACATCGTGTGTACTTTTAATCATGAGGTAGACCAGACTTCTGCAAAAGTGCCTTTTAACTTGTCTATGAGGTAAAACAGGAACCCGAAACACTGCAGTGTGCATTAAATATCACAGACCACAAACACTGTACACACAGAAGTGCATGTTTGTACGGATGACATGTACATCAATGTATTTGCACAACTGCATAGGCCACCAAATCAAAATGAAGATTAGCATGTAGGACAACCAGGCATATATACATAATCAGTAGATACATTTCAGGTAGCGATGGAGCAAATTGATGCAGATGTAATATGTGAGATGTGTTTGAAACAGCAAGTCTCACAAAAAACTATTTAAAGTGGGTTTTCCTTTTTCAGGCTACTGACAGGTCCCTTCACCCATTCCAAACAATTCAGACTTTCTAACTTGAAACTCAAGTTCTTGTCCTAAGGATTAGTGGGCGTAAGGCAGAAAAATGAAGCACTATTGTCCATTAGAGAAGAATTGGATGCATTCTATATTTCAGAGTCCCCCCCTCCCCTTTCATGACTTACATTACAGTCTTCTGACTTACAGCTTCAGATGGGCACCCACGCCAGCAGGAGGGAGGGAGGGAAGGAAGGGAGGCAGGCACATTAGAGGAAAGCCAGTTACCAAGAGCCTATGTAATTATGGGCAGGCTTGGCTAAGATTCACTGTGCAGCACCAATGAACAACAGGGAAATAAGCAATTCCACGGGCAGTGATTTCATTGATTGACACTGGAAATTTATACAATATATATCAAAATAAAATACAATATATTTTATTCCACGGGCAGTGATTCAACATCAACTAATTCCATGTCAGGGAGAGGCTGTGGTTAAATGGCTGAACATGTGCTTTGCATGCAAAAGGTCTGATTTCTGGCAGCTCCAGTTAAAGGATCTCAGACCAAAAGCCCTGGAAAAACCTTTCTCCGCCTGAGAACCTGGAGAACTACTGCTAGCCAGAGTAGACAATATTGACTGCTAAGGTCCAAAGGTCATATGTTCAAGAATGTTGCGTAGAGATCATTACGCATCCCCAAGATCTGGTATAACACTTTCCCTTAAACTGTGGACTTTGCTGTAGGTACCACAAGCCCCCTATTCAATCTGTGGGCAAAGGTGCCAGGCTACATCATACTGTCAGTTCAGATATACATGTGGATATCGGGACGTCACAGAATGACATACAGTGTCAACTTAAACTTGATAACCTAAATATGTGAAGCCTTCTAAAACAGAATTACTTCAGCTCAACAGGGCTAAAGTAAATATACTCCTCTGCTATCTCTGAACATGCCTATATACCCAAATCAAAAGTTACCCTTGATGGAAGGTTAAATCCTTTGCATGTTTACTTCAGAGAAATTCCACAGAATTAACTAGAAATTATTTTAAAGTGAGCATGTATAGTTAGACTGTGAGCCCCATTTAGGCTTGCCAAGTCCCCCCGGGGAAACCCCCAGAGGCCCGTTCCCCACCCCGACATGCACGTCACCCAGAAGTGACGCAACCACACCGGGCACGCTGGGGGCGGGGCCACGGTCATCCAAGGGAAAACTTTATGGTCACGTCACTTCCGAGTGACGAGGATGCAGCATGCACGCTTTTCATATGCATGCTCCAGCCGCCAGCCAGGAGTCCCCTGCTGTGGTGAAGATCGCACTTGGCAACCCTAGTCCCATTGAAAGCTATGGAATGGGACAGCCCATATGACCAATCTGTACAACCAATCAGTTGCACAGAAGCATTCCTCTGCAAGAAGCCAGGAGGATCTTTAGAATGCCCATGGGTCAGAATGGGGTCTATACCATCTACAGGTGAAGCCTAGCTGAACCTCTGTTGATCTCTGTCTTTTTTAGGACAAGCACCAAATCAGTGCATCCATAAAGATCCAGTGTGCTCACATTCAACACCTGAAATAAGCTCTATAATGACATCGTACTTATAGTCTATACTAGGAAAAAGGCCCATTGAGGAAATAAATACAACGGCCTCTAGAAAGAGGCTCTGGGCGGGTGCCCCGGCCTTGGACACTCAGTGTCAATTTGCTGTGGCAACCTCAGCAGGGTAGAATGACACTGAGTCCACCATTTTTTCCAGAGGAACTGATCTCTGCTACCTAAAGAACAGTTGCAATTTTGAGTGATCTCCAGCCCTCACCTGGAGATTGGCAATGATGGTTCCCCAGAAGGGAATGGTTGGTTTGGAGGGTGGAGTCTATGGCTTTGTAACTGTCCGAGGTCCCACGCCTCCTGAAACCTCACCCTCTCCAGGCTCCATCCCTCACCTCTCCAGGAATTTCCCACTTGGAGTTGGCACCCTATCTCCTTCCCAGCCAATCATCAACCTACCTTTATTTCCCCCTCACTCTTCAGCTTTCCAACCCCCACACACCTGCAGTCTCTCCCATGCTCTGAAGCCCTGACTGCTACCTCACATTGGCTGTCATACGGGGGCCACCTCAGCAGCATATAAGGATACAGAGCCCACCAATTTCTCCAGGGGAACTGATCTCTGCCATCTGGAAAGCAGTTGGAATTCCGAGTGATCTCCAGCCCTCACCTGGAGATTGGACAAATTTTACCTCAGAACAGCAAAACTGGTTAGAATGTTAGAGGCAAAAGCCAATCAAGTTGCATATGCAAACGACCTCTGTGTTCTGAGGCAGAGGCCAATGAGGCTGCATATGCAAATAACCTCTGTGTTCTGACTGGCTATGGGGGGGAGAGGAACAGCAAACTGTTTAGAATGTTGGAGGCAGGACTCAGGCAAAGCAGCCAGTGGATAGGGAGACCCTCTGAATGACAGATCAGAGAGCCAACTGATTTTGGAGCGTGTGGAATGTTCTAGAGAAGTGCCACCACCATTCGGCTTTTATTTATAAGGGAGATTAGCAGGCAGTATGAAGGAGGCACTGTTATGAAGTCTGTCCAGTTCTATTTTCTCTGTTCCTAGAGGGACCAGGGAGAGGACAGTGAACCACTTGCTGCCATTATTTCTCAGAATCTCTGTCGTTTATACATTGTCCATATAAAAATGCTCACATCATTAAAAGTAGAAGTGTAGCCAGAGAGGTTTATTAGAACACCTTAATGAAATCTGTACTTTCCATAAAAACCTGTTAACACTTGTAATCTTCTTGCAATCCATGAGCCTCTGCCCTCAGAGTCCAGGCAGGTGACTACCATACAAAAGGGCTTTTTTTGTGGTGGCACACCAACTCTGGAATTTCTAACCGAGGAAAACGTGTCTGATACTATCACTACTGCCATTTAAATACCAGGCTAAATCGGCTCTGTTTGACCTAACTTTTAATCAGTAACGAATACAGATTGGCTGCAACTCTCCAGTTTAATACTGTACTGCTGTCCATTTTCATTTTTAGTCCCTTTACTGGTAATTCACAATGATTTAACTACAGCTGTAAGCCACCTGAAAGCTATTGTAGCAGAAAAGTTAGACAAATGTGTCTTCAATACACACATAAATTGCCAATAGTAGACGTAAACAGCTAGATGGTTAATACATGAGAGTACTAGGGTTATTTGGAAGTATGACCTAGTGTCAGGTTCAACAGCATGCTTTCTTATGGGAAAGTATATGTGAAGTTTGCAATCTGATCTAAACTGTTTTGAAGATCTTAGGGAGGGGGCAGAAATTCCCCACATTTGGAGATTTGCTGTTTCCCTGTTGCTCACTTGGCCCCTTATTGTTGCTCCAATTTTAGCCGCACCAACATTGGCTCAATGAAACTTTCGAAGAACTGTTCAAAGCTATATTTGTTACTTTTAAAAAACCCACCACCAAGTTATCAAAGGTTAGTCAGTGAGAGGCATGCTTGGCTAGAAGAGTAAAGAAGACAGAGTATGCAACAGGAAGTTAAAGGTCAGATTCTCTCCCACAGTTTCAACAGTTCATCTAGTGCCAATAACTTGAAGCCTCTGTGGGCCATAGTGCCTGGGCAGCAGCATCCATGTCATGAATGCACCAAAAGTGCAGCATTTAACATCAAGGGCTTATCCAAATATTGGTGTTTATTATATTGCAAAAAAACTGCAGTTAGCACTTAGTTTAACACTGAGAAATTATCAACACAGATCAGATACCACATATGGAGCCTTCTGATCAGGAGACTGGAATGACTTTCAAAATGTAATTACTGCCTCTCAACAGATTGTCCACAGTGGTTCACTGCCAGTCTTTGATAGTTCGCTGACTGAACTTCAAATATGTTCTGGCAAAGCAAGGGCGATTTACTGCCCAAGTGACCACTTGGGTGCCACATTTTTCTCCACATACAAACAGAGCTCCAGAGCAGCTGGCTGCACCAGTGGGGCTTGTCTTCTCCAAGCCAGTGATGGGGGCAGGTCTTAGAGGAATATTGCCTCTGACCTATCCCATCTCTGCCCTACTTGGGACAGCAAACTACCTTGAACCATACCTGAGGCAAAGGAAGAAACAGCAATGAAAAGCATTACCTATACGCAGGGGTTATTTCCTGCAGGAGCGCATAGGAGCAGAGCTCCGGCAGTAAGGAGCCCAGGGGGCGGGCACATGCAACAAGCCCCACCCCCTGCTCCCAGCAGCCCTCAGTTGGGCCACGAGGAGCAAGAAGCAGCCAGGTAAGTTGTAGAGCCCCCCCCCGAACCGCCTTCAGGTACAAGCTCTCCCTCCTCTGTGAGGGCAGATCTGCATGTCCCCCCTCCATAGCTAGCAATCCAAAACAGTCCAGTGGCACTTTTAAGACCAAGTTTTATTCAGGTACAAGCTCCCTCTCCTCTGTGAGGACAGATCTGCATGTTCCCCCCTCCCCACAATAGCTAGCAATCCAAAACAGTCCAGTGGCACTTTTAAGACCAAGTTTTATTCAGGTACAAGCTCCCTCTCCTCTGTGAGGACAGATCTGCATGTTCCCCCTTCCCCACAATAGCTAGAAATCCAAAACAGTTCAGTGGAGCCTGAGTGGTGGGTGTTGCTTTCTGACACACGTCCGGTGATGTCAGGGGGTGTGGCATATGGAATTAAGTTATGCTAATAAGTTATGCTAATGAACTCCTGCACCTCTTTTTCTACGAAATGACCCCTGCCTATATGTACAAACTCTGAACATCGGTGCATCTAAGTATAAACCTATCTCTGTGCATAAGCACAAGTTGAAGTCTATAGAAATCTGCAGTTAGTTTAATCTGTTGCACTGATCAGCCATAGGCCTCCAAATATGTCTGGGAGTATCCATGAAAGTTCAGGTGGAAGTGATTTCTGTGGCTTAGGCAGAAGGGTTTGGAGCTATGTTTAAAACTCAATCAGGGAAATACAATTAATCATTTAGTCCATAATCCTGCCAGATGTTCCCCAGGATGGGAATTCTTTACACAACTGCTAAAATAGCAAAGACTAAAAAAGGAGGTTATATCTCCCCAATTTTGAGCATCTGCAATGGGAATCTGTTCTATAGGGAATAATACTTCCTCAGTAAGGAAACAAGTTTGCCCTTTTAAGTGTTTTTAAGGAGGATAATAAATCATAAATCATTGTTATTCCTATGTGTTCTGTAAGGGATTTATAACTATTATAAGTGTTGCTGGTGGTTAGAAATGACCCTTTGTCAGTAGTGTATAAAAGTCCATAGCATTTGTTAATTAGCAGTTTGGTGTAATGGTTAAATGCGCGGACTCTAATCTGGGAGAACCGGGTTCGATTCCCCACTCCTCCACTTGCACCTGGCTGGATGACCCTGGGCAAACCATAGTTCTGACAAGAGCTGTCCTTGAAAAAGAACAGTTTCTGTCAGAGCTCTCTCAGCCTCACCTACCTCACAGGGTGTCTGTTGTGGGGAGAGGAAGGGAAAGGAGTTTGTAAACCACTCTGAGACTCCTTCGGGTAGTGAAGGGCGAGGTATAAATCCAATCTCTTCTTCTTCTTCTTCTTCTTAATCCTACTTTGCACATTGTCTAGAAAATTTTTGATGTGGCTGGCTATATAATGATTTCCTTTTTCTGAAATTTAGGGAAGGAATGTATTACATTCCAAGTAAAAGACTGTACTGATTTCTCTAGAACAGGGACCTGCATGGTTGGTGACCCACCAAGCTGAACACAGCATGCTAGGCACAGTTTCTGGTTTAACAATATCCCCAATCCAGTTCTGCAATCCCAAGAAAGCAGCCCAAACAAGATGTTTTATGAAGCCCTTGACTTAATATGGCCACCAAATATATCTTCTAGTCAGTTTATATGATTGGTACACTCCCTGATGAGTCACAAGTTGTGAGGGTCAGCTCTCTTGACTATGGAATCTTTATCAACAATACTGAAATTTCATGTTGAGTGAGACTGTCCAAGGCAAGCAGGGAGAAAGAGAGTGCAGAAGACAGCATAGGGTTATGTCATTGTGGTTTATCTTGGCTTCCAGAAATGCAGTTCATTCTCTTCATTACAAGCTGATGGCCAATGGCTTCTTACTACATTCTGCATCCCCAAGAGTTACAACACTTTGCTGTTGAGATGACAGTTATCATGAGGAATGCATATTTAATGGCCGCTTCACAAAAAGGTTGACCAAACAGAGCAGAAAAATGATGGGGGAAGAGGCATGATTGGCAATGGAAGAGGAATAAGAAGACGAGGGTGTGATTAAAATGGTGGTGGGTGTTGAAAAGCTGAGAATGGTTTGACCAGCTCCCTCTAAGTCTGGCTTTGCTAAAGCCACCCACCAATCCCCCCTCCCATCCACTCATCCAAGCCCATGAAACTTACACAAGTTACTGTAAGGGGTTTGTGGTGAGACAGGAAAGGCAGGGGTTGGGGGAGAGGTCTCACCACCACTAGAAGGTGGGCTGCTTGGAGAGGTCTGCTGCATTTCTTCAAAGGCCTCCTTGTAGCTGTGGAGATGGGGCTGTGAAAGGGAGGAGGTAAAGTAGAATCAGTGATGACAACTCAATGTTTCATCTCCTTTCTTCTCAAGCAAACAACCAATTGGCAAAGAAGGGAATTCCTTTCTCGAGATGTCTTTTCTTCTGCTGCTTTGTCCTGCTTTTATATTGCTTGATCCTAAGACCTCATCTGTAGCCATTTGACTTTTCTATCTTTAACCATCAATAGATTTCTGCTATGGTGACTGTCTTCTGCTATGAAAACTGGAAAGACCAAGGTGTCTAGAGTAGGAGGAAACAACAATGGCCTCCTTCCAGTTTCTGCAAAACAGGCTCTGTTTAGAATACCTTCCCTTGAGAAAACAACTTGTCTTTGCACATTTTTAGCAAGGAGAGAATTTTTCTGTTTAAGAGGGTCTTTAACAGTTCAATTTTCTTGGGCTTCTCTATCATGCTCTTTATCCACTGCTGTTCATTTTGTGATATTTGTAAATTGTGTTTTAATGTATATTATGTTTTACTTCTTTTGCCATATGCAGTTTAGGGGCTTTGTGACAAACAACTTATAAATTCAGCTAGTATGCTTAATATCAGAAGTGATTACTCCCATGTAAATCACACAGCTAGAACCACGTCTAATACCGAAGCAGGAATTGTCACCTGAAAACCGTAGGCTTATCTCCTTCTACCTTTTCTTTTTGTGACACTTTTTATTATCTTTGGCTCCGGTCACACGGCCAGATAACGCGGGGGGGAGGCGTGGCTGTTTGCCCCAGAGCAAAATAAAGTGCGGTAGCCCGATTACACAGTCCCCCAAGGCTTCGAGCTTAGGCTGTTAGCTGGCGATCACACAGTGATGCTGGAGTGTGGCAAAGAAGCGGAATGGCAAGTGTTTCGCGTTTGTGTGCATGCGCAGTTCCATGGAGCAGCACTGCTCTCAGTTACGTGTTTGTGCGCATGCGCTTAACAAAACATCCGGTTTGTGATGGGACCTGGATGGGTGTCAAATGCCATGGGATACTAGCGCTCCCGCGATCAGATGCCCGCCCCTGCCCCATGTTTTCTGGATACTACTGCACTTTCCGCGGTACTTTTTTACTGTGCTTCTTCGGCGGGATGCCACGGGGTGGCCACGGGTGTGCTACCCTTCCAAAGATGTTGTGGTGTGATCGCGCCCTGAAAATCCGCCCAACATTCATGCCTTTAGCGCGGCAAATCTTCCGTGTGACCGGGGCCTTTCTTCATTTTCCTGCTTTAGTTTACTGACTATTCCTCCCATTAAGAATGACTGCTACTGTTAGCAGGTTATAAATGCTCCCCTCATCTGCATCCTCTTCCTTCTCCAGCTATCACATTATACTAGAAATAAAGATGTTTTCCCACAGTAATTCCGCCTGTGCTTTCATGCATATAAATGGTAGGATTGGAAGGGGAAATTATTTTAAAAAAGCACCTCCTTGGGCCTTCCTCCGGGATTGGCAGAGATGGTGCTGACCACCTCTGGTGAGACATAGTGAACTGGTGAGCGAACAGTAGGGCTTCTTGGTGAACTGGGATCCTGAGGGCTGTTCTCATACTGGCCTTCACTGGTGGTCCGTCTCCGCATAGGGCCTTCAGTTTCTTCTGGTGACTTCTCCCGTGGTGACTGTATACCTGAAAGTTCAATTACAATGTGAGAAATGAGGTAAGACCATTAATAACCTTAGAACATCCTTAAGGACATAGGGCCAGTGTTCAGACCTTTAGTTGGGGTTGGAAAGAAAGGAGTAGTGGAATATTATAATCAGTTGATGTGAGAAAAATAAGCCAGTCGTTCACTTTCCACTACAGATTGCCATGAAAACCAGTAAACCAGACTCAAAACAATATTGCCTTGGTCCATACGGTTTAAAAAAAGATGGGGAACGTAATGGTGAACTTGGGAGATCCACATGGATCTCCCAAGCTCACCATTACTTTCCCTATCTTTTTTTAAACTGTATGGGCCAAGGCAATATTGCTTTGAGTCTGGTTTATTACAACACTGGAAAGAGAAATGCCTGCCTCCAGTAATCCAACGGACTGAGGACCTTAAAACTTGATCTGCTTTCGAACAAATGGCATATAGACAAGTGCACATGGACATATTTTTAGATATCCAGAAACCCTTTGCAGGTGCTTATCTGTAGACTTGCTACCATTGTTATTTTTATTTATTTATTTATTTTTAAATTGTTCCAGTTTGGGGGTTGCAACTATTTTTACAATTTAAAAATTATATTTAAAACAACAACAACCAGACTTATGGAGGTAGAAGGGACTAATAGGCCCTCTTGGCTAAAAACAACAAGCAGTTCTAAGTGACTCAGACAACTGAGCAAAGCCACAGGTGGGAGGGGGAAGGCACAAACCCCCAAGGAATCTGACCAGCCTGTCCCGGAAAATACATCTAAGGTTCTATAAGCTTGTTGGTTCTTATCTTCTCCCTTGGTTGTCTAAAGTCCTGCACAGAAGGGACAATATTTCTAGATGAGCCCTCTTTCTGATGGGCTACATGTCTAAGAGTAGAGAGGCTTTTTTTTAAGTTAAGAAACCGATCCCCCATGTGAAGACCAAAGAGGTGACAATCTAAACAAAATTGTCAAATCATGATTCTGAATATGCAGATTGGTCATTTGTCTTGGAGACTACTGTCTATCATAATTTTTTCCTGTCTCAACCTCCAGACCAGGGATATAGTCCCAGGCCCTGAATTATTTCATGTTAGCCCTACCAACAAAGAAAAGACCATTTATTCAGCAGTGAAACTAAAATTTCCTGACTTTTCTCTTCCCCATCCTGAGGCTAGTTAAAACAAACAAACAAAACCCCAACAACAGCATTTAGAATACCAGAGTATTCTGGTACAACATTATGATGGTATTGTTAAATAATGCACTATCCTTTCCCACTCCACATAAACACAGTACATTTCCAGTGCAATCCTATGCAAAGTTAGCTAAAAACAATTCCAAATAAAGTGCTAGCTGGTTGTAAACGAATACATTAGGGATGGTGGCAATGGTCACTTTATCCATCAGTTCTCGATCTTTATCATATATATATACAACTGGCACAGGCTGTAATGGTGCCTCTTTAATGATGATGTTGTTGGTGGTGATGGTGGTGGCTCCTTAGCCAAAGGCCTGGTGGAAGAGCTCCGTCTTGTAGGCCCTGCAGAACTGAAAAAGGTTCTGCAGGGCCCTGATGTATTCTGGGAGATCATTCCACCAGTATGGAGCTGCCACCGAGAATGTGCTGGCCCTGGTTGTTGTCAGTCTGACGTTTTCAGGGCCTGTGAGGGTCAGTTGATTTTGTGACCCTCATTGCAGTGCTCACTGGGGTACATATGGGGAAAGGCAGTCCCTCAGGTATGTTGGCCTCTGACCATACAGGGCTTTAAAGATAAGAACCAGCACCTTGAAGCAAACTCAGAATGCTATCGGCACCTAGTGTAATGCCTTTAACACAGGCTAGATGTGCTCCTGGATAGAGAGACCCACCAGGAGCCTGGCCACTGCATTTTGCACTAGCTGCAGCTTCCAGATTTGTGACACGGGCAGCCCCATGTAGAGAGCGTTACAGTAGTCCAGTCTCAAGGTGACCATTGCGTGGATCACTGTTGCCAAGTCGTTGTGGTCAAGGAAGGGAACTAACTGCCTAATCAGCCGGAGATGGTAAAAGGCTAGCTTGGCAGTGGCTGCTATCTGGGCCTCCATTGTTAAGGAGGCATCCAAGAGCACTCCCAAACTCCTAACCTCCGGTGCTGGCACCAACGGCATCCCATCAAAAGTCAGGAGTGGGATTCCTACCCTCGAACCGCCTCAGGCACAGGACCTCCATCTTCATTGGATTCAGTTTTAGTCAGCTCAGTCTAAACCAACCAGCCACAGCTTGTAGCGCTCGGTTCAGATCTTCTGGTTTAGAATCAGACTGGCTGCCCAACAACAGATAGAGCTGGGTGTCATTCGCATATTGGTGACAGCCCAGCCCATGCCTCCAGGCAATCTGGGCAAGGGGGTGCATATGGATGTTGAATAGCATTGGGGAAAGCACTGCCCCTTGAGGCACTCCACAGTTCAGTGGGTGCCTTCAGGACAGCTGTTTCCCCAGCACCACCCTTTGTCCCCAACCTTGGAGAAAGGAGGCAAGCCATTGAAAGGCAGACCCCTGAACTCCCGTGTCAGCAAGGTGGTGGATCAGTAACTGATGGTCGACCATGTCAAATGCTGCTGACAGGTCCAACAGCAACAGCACTGCTGATCTGCCCCGATCCAGATGCCTCCGGAGGTCGTCTGTGAGGGCAACCAATGCTGTCTCCATCCCATGGCCTGGGCAAAAGCCAGACTGGAAGGGATCTAAAATCGAAGCGTCATCCAGAAACCCCTGAAGCTGAATTGCCACAGCCCTCTCTATTATTTTGCCTGGATAGGGTAAATTGGAGACCAGCTGGTAATTTGCCAAATCCGTCAGGTCCAGTGATGGATTTTTCAAGAGGGGGCGGACCACTGCTTCTTTGAGTGCCCTAGAGAACAGTCCCGAGGGACTTGATGATCTTAGGGCACCTCGAAATCTGTCACGGCCAGGTTCAATTAGCCACGATGGGCATGGTCAAGATAGCATGTGGTTGGGCATACAGCCAGGAGCAGTTTGTTGATTTCCTCTAGGCTGAGTGGGCTGAAATGATCCATAATCTGACTCGAAGATGTGCATGGAGCCTCAAGTTCGCTCACTATCTCCAATGTGGCGGGGAGGACGCAGCGGAGTGACAAGACTTTATCTGCAAAGTAGCTTGCAAAGGCCTCACAGCCTATATCCAATTCCTTAGCGTTTGACCTGCCTTGTGGCAGAGCAGTCAAGGACCGAATTGTTTGAAATAATTGGGCTGGGTGTGAGCTTGCAGATGCAATCGTGGCCGTGTAGAATTTGTGCTTCGCAGCTTTGACTGCCATCTCATAGAATCTTATAAATGTCCTATGAGAATTTCTTGTAGCCTCATTGCGGGTGGATGAGCTAAAATATGCTCACCGTCCAAACAGGGTTGGGGTGAAACATTCAGACAGACCTTTGAGGAATTGTAATGTATTGAAATGATTACATGAATCACCTCATAGGACTCCCGTGTTAAGCTTCGAGCCAGACCAGGGCTCCTCTGAGCGAACTTCCTATTGGTCGCTTCGTAACAGCGACCAATCAGAACGGTACCATTCCCTAGGAGGGAAAGACTCCCATTGGTCTTTATTCTAGCAATCTCATTGGTTGTTATTTGTAAATAGGCGTGGCTACATTAGCCCGGTTATGTTTAAAAGGAGCATAAGCTCCCACTGTTTTCTGTTCTGGTTTCTTACTGAGTTAGTGCTTGCTCGTTACTTCCAATAAAGCTGAATCACTTGCTGAATCACTGTACGAGTCCTTTGTTAGCGCGATCTAACACCTGGCATTACATTTTATGCCACGCGTGGCCTGGCCCGACAAAGTGACATTAATGTCAGGTCTGGCCCGTGTAACAAATGAGTTCAACACCTCTGCCTTAGCCTCTCCTCTTCTCTAAATGACTCTTTCCTGAACTCCTGGAGACAGCAAGTGGCTTCAAACCGGATGTCACTAATGGTTGGAATTGGGGAGTCCGGAGTACTTTGGAAATGTTCAGAAAGCTATGAGCCAAGCCCAGATCTCCCTGAAGTTCAAGTTCAGATCACTTGCCCATAGCCTGCCATGTTAATGCAGCTGCCCTCCCCTCCCATGCCTACCAAAACCTATTTGGCAGTGAGGGTGGCAGCCAGAAAGGAGAATTTCTTGTAGCCTCATTGCGGGTGGACGAGCTAAAATATGCTCACCATCCAAACAAGGTTGGGGTGAAACATCCAGACAGACCTTTAGAGCAAGGTGGTCCGCCCATGGTACTACTAAGGCAGTAATCCGGTCCACCGTAATGTAGGGGTGAGTGCTGAAAAACTACGTTTACACCCCCTGACATCACCGGAAGTGTGTCAGAAGGCAACACCCACCGCTTAGACTCCACTGGACTGTTTTGGATTGATAGCTAGTGGGGGGGGGGGAACCTGCAGATTTGCCCTCGCAGAGGAGGGAAAGCTTGTACCTGAAGGCGGGCCGGGGGGGTGGCTCTGCAACTGACCTGGCTGTTTCTTGCTCTTCATGGCCCGACTGAGGGCTGCTGGGAGCAGGGGGTGGGGCTTGTTGCATGTGCCTACCCCCTGGGCTCCTTACTGCCAGAGCTCCGCTCCTGTGTGCTCCCGCAGGAAATGACCCCTGGCTACTACTGCAGCCTTCACTAGGCACTGGAACTACAACAGCATTACAGGAGCCATGATTCATGAAATAGGTAGTTCCCCAGGGATTCTGGGATCTTATGGATCCAAAAGCCCTCAGAAACTACAATTCATATGCATATCTGGCTTCAATGCCCTATAATAAAAGTTTTGGGGGAAGAAATCTTACAAAGAATAAAACTTATTACCAAAGTTGTAATTCCATTAAGACCAGATGTAATTTTGTTAAATAACAGAAGTGACGTAATACCGCATTATTTGGATCAACAAAGAGTAGCCTTGCTGCTTCATGCAGCAAAGGCAGCAATTGCTAGCAAATGGAAATCAGAACATGCACCAACTGTA